GTGCGAGAGAGCGTGCGAGAGAGCGTGCGAGAGAGCGTGCGAGAGAGAGCGAGAGTCAGCCTGCACCCTCTGGAGCAGGATGGGAGAGGGTGCTGACAGGGTTGAAACAGCCGCTGAGTGCTCACCTTGCCAATGGTGCCTGTAGTCACAGGCGCGGGACAGAGCAATCATGGCTGCGATGTAGACCGGCATCAGCATCACACAGAGCCGCCAGCCTTTCCCGTGGCCCCTCGAGGTGAAGCAGTGCAGCTTTCCTCCCAGGTAGAACGTGGTGAAACCCAGGCCGGCAAAGGCAACTGCAGGGGAGAAACAACAACAACAACTGGGCGACAAGGTTCAAAGACAGGTTCTGCTCTGCACCCACTCTCCCTCACTTTCAGCTGCACGCGCATGGGGCTCAGCATGGGAGTGAGGGGGAATAAAGGGACAAATTGAGAGCACAGGACACTCCCCCAAATCCCCCGCCGCGCCTCAGTATTGCAAACTGAAAAATCGGGGGTCGGTCCATCCTGAGATTCAGAACAGAATGAATGACCCAGTGCCCACCCACCCACTTTCGAGCTCCGAGTGCTGATGTGCCATCGCCCTGCCCCCTCTCACGTTCTGCTTTCTGGAAAGCTGCTTTGGGTGCTGGGCTCTTCCTTCCAACAAGGCAGTGGGGTTTGGGGGTTGAGGTTCATTTGCCACCTTCCCTGCGTTGTCACGGCAACAGCTCGCCTTCGAGGCTGGAACAAGACATTGGGTTGGTGGGGGGGGGGGGGGGGGTGTGAAGGTGACAATCTGATCAGCCATGACCGTGCGCAATGGCGGAGCAGGCCTGAGGGGCTGAAGGGCCTGCTCCCGCTTTGTCTGGCCTGATGTCAGACACCATGGACCCCTTTTGAGTCTGTTTCACTGCTCAGTGAGATGCTGCAGATCTGCGATGTCACTCCACAGTGCCCGGGTTCCAGGACCTGGAAGCAATGGCCCAACGCAGTCAGCATCTTGGGACAGTGAGTAACAAACAGCCCGTGCTACAGCTGAACGATGTGTCAATTCTTTTATCGGGGCCACAGACCAACGCACGGTGCTCCTCACAAACCACCAAACAGTGGTGTTCAGGTCAGCACGCTCTCCAATCGATCAGCTTGGGTCGGGAGTTGGCAAATAACTTCCACAAGTGTGAGCTCTGACCACCTCCCGTCAACGCTCAATTGGCATTTCCTTCCCTGAATCCTACCTACATCCTCGGGGCTCCTATTGAAACCAATCGTCAATCCATGGCTGTTTGACACAGAAACTGAACTGGACTCACCATCTAAACACTGTGGCACTGAGAGTAGGTCAGAAGCCAGGAATAGTGCAGTGGGTAACTCATCTCCGAAGCCTATCCACCATCTACAAGGCACAAGTCAAGAGTGTGATGGAATACTCCCCACTTGCTCTGGATGGGGGCAGCTCCAATAACACTCAAGAAGCTCAACACCATCCAGGACAAAGCTGCCCCCGCTTGATAGGCACCATATCCACAAACACCCATTCCCTCCACCACTGACACTCAGTAGCAGCAGTGTGTACTATCTACAAGATGCACTGCGGAAATTCACCAAAGATCCTCAGACAGCTCCTTCCAAACCCACAACACTGAAGATTTGGAGGGACAAGGGCAGCGGATACATGGGCTCAGCATTGCTTTGCTCCTGCTGGGTGTAAATCCCAGAAAACCCTTCCCAAACAGCGCTGCGGCTCTACTTAGACCAGAGAAACTGCAGCGGTTCAAGAAGGCAGCTCTCCCCCTACCTTCTCTGGGGCTATTCGGGATGGGCGATAAATGCTGGCCCAGCCAGCGACCCCCACATTCCATGAATAGGGGCAAACAAGAAGGGAAGGGCGTCGAAGTTGTGGGTCTGTCTCTGTGCTAATCTGATGGATGTGGAGTCAGCTGTACTTACAGGAGGAGTGACCGCTGGGAAAGCTCTTCCGACCCTCTAGGACGGAGCCGGGATCACCGGTGCACTGCATGTCCTCTGTCACCACTCCATCCGGAAAGCAGCGGTAGAAATAATCTGGACGAGGCCTGCAAACAAGAGGACACAGTCACCAGCTCGAACCTTCACAGCTCATGACAAAAGTGTCAGCACTGCCGATCTATCACCTTTTCCGTCAAGTAATTTAGACAGCGATCCAAGACAAACATGAGACTCCCACTAACAATCCCAGCAGGAATTCTGGTTGAACCACTTTTGCCAGAGAGTGGTAACAATGTATACTGCATTGTCCACATTACGGAGAGAGCCAAACACCACAGACGCACTTCCCACCTTGCAACAGGACAAAGTAAATGCCAGCATTAATACTGAGGTGTTGGGGGCTCTTGTAGTGCACTGGCAATATCCTTACCTCTGAGCCAGGAGGCCAGGGTTCAAGTCTCACCTGCTCCAGAGGGGAGTAGTAACATCTCGGAACCAGCTGATTGGAAAATATCAAATTCCTGCTGTGAACACCGGGACAACAGCCGCATCTTTCTCCTCATTAAATTCTTCCTTCACAAAGACTGAAGTTGGTCAGCAACATCTGGTGTCTGCAGCCCTTACCCGAGTGAACCTGCCTCCCCCC